ATATTCTCATAATAAATAATGGCATCATCATAATTTTATTTTTAGAAATTGTTAATAAATGCAAGTTTTAGTTTTTATTATTATTTTTATTTATTTATTTATTTATTTATATTTTATATATCTATTATCTTGCTAAAATTGCAGCACCAAAATTTTGCAACATTTAGTATTTTAACCAAGTTTTAATACTTAATTGCACAAGACAAAATACTATTGTATAAGTTTATCAAATTTGACACATATAAAGTATATAAGTAAGCTATTGTGAAACATTCTACAAAATTTTCATAATTAATCTGTGCCATTTTATCATTTAACAAAAAAAATATATAAAAAATATCCAGTTTGTAACATTCCATCAATTCAAATTTACTTAGAATGACTCAATTATTTCTTCTTATATTTTTAAATCTTGAATATTTTTCTTGACTCATTATATATTAAAGTAATGGTCCCAGCATTTTATCTTTAAAACATTTTGATATATTGCTATTATAAACTGCTTAAATAACTCTTAAAACACTTTATTGCTCTTTTAGAATAAATCCAAAAATGATTGAAGAAATTATTAAGCCATTCCACATATACATATGTATCTTTCTTGCATTTATAGCATAAAATACCATTTCTAGCTAAAATATTTTTAATTTTTAAGTTTTTAAATAGGAAGACTATAATAAAATGAGCCAATATTACTAAAAATTTTTAATATTCTATGATGATATCCTTTATCAAGAACAAATTTTATTTATGCCCTATGACCAGACAATAATTATCTATCAAATTATATATTATTAAATATTATTTCACTTTGTAAAATGGTGATGAATTTTAAGTTATTAAAATGTTATTCATTTGTAGAAATGTAATAATTTTAATTATCAGATACAATGGATTTGCTTGAATATTTATCTGTATTAATAGTGGATGAATAAGATACATTTTCTGTTACAGAGTGGAAGGGTAAAGATTCATAACTAGATTGAATTCCTTCTAATGATAAATCAATAGATTCATCTGAAAATACTGATGTTTGAGGTAAAAGTTTGTAAGAAGACTGATGAATTGCTTGCCAACGTTGTTTTTGTAATATTTGTCTTTTCTGATGTAATCTCTGCTGTAGTAGTTGTTGTTGTAATGACTTTGTTTGGTCAAATGGTATTCCAATAAATTCATCTAGAGGTTTGGAAATTATCCCTTGAACAGTTGCATTCATATCTTCTAAATCTTCATATAAAATGTCTTTCTTTTCAGATGGGATTGTAGATAGAGCTTTTATAGAAGATGCAAATAAATCTGTCTTGTCTAAATGAGTTTGTTGTAAATGATAAGGATATAGTTGCATGCAGGTATTATTCAAAACATTTATAGGAGAATTTTGGAAATACTCAAGTTGTCTTATTTGTTCTTGTGTTGAAATTGGACTTCTGTGTAGCATCTGAAATTGCTTTTGTTCCTGTTGGATATCATTTAATGCTAACATGCCTCTGGCTTTATCTTTATCACATAACCTTGTAGAAAACATTTCACATCCTTGAGCAACTAAGCCATCAGAAGCTCTTCTACCCTCCCTGAAATAACCTGGTGATTGTATATTACTAGTTTCTATTTCCATTGTATCATGTTGAACATGTAAAGGATTAATGGCATTAAAATATATAGGATGCAAAGAATATTGAGATATATCTGATAAAGGTGGTTGTACAAAAGTTGTGCCATAAAAATCCATTGGAGTTTCAAATTCCTGAGTGCAAGATGGTAGACTAGAAGTCATATCTGTTTCAATTTGCGAATCAAAACTTTCATTATTTTCTCTGTTTTCAGAACTGATATTTCCTATTGGAGAATCAGATAAGCTGAGTTGAGTTAGATTACATAACGGAGGACTTTTTTGATAGTATTCTTTGCTTGGAAGAGTTGATTGATTATTAGATTTCAAATATAAAGAGTGATGTTGTGTAGGAGAAGCACAGGATTCAAAAGAGTCTCCACTAATATCTGCTTCTACACCTTCATCTATAGATGATGTGATTTTACTTTGTAAAGGACTGGTATTAAATGTATGCGAAGAAATGGAATGCAGATTATTTAAATATGGAATAACTTCATTGGATAAAAGTTTCATTTTATATTCATCACTTGTCATTTGTTTCTGATCTGGACTGTAGCACCTGATGCTTGACAATTTATCATCAATATTTTTATTATAAAATTGTGTTTTAATAGAATGTAGAGATGGTTTAATCTAGAAAAAATAATTTACATAATTAATAAAAGGAATTTTTAAAATATAAAAATAATTACATCTAGCATATCATATATTTGTGCACATAACACATTTTGTGTTTTTTAACACAAACAACCCACAGACTATTTGTGTTAAAAGACAATTTGAAGAATATACTTAGGTTATAAGTGTAACTGCAGTGAGGTGGGTTACATGTCTTTGTTGAGGTAGAGCATTAGTGAAGCTTCTTCCATGTGGCTTACAGAATTGCATTTGTTCTTGAAATGTGTTTGATCAATTTTGATAAAATTTTTCCATTTTCCATTAATTACTATGAAGAATCCAAAAATGAAATAAAAAAATAGGGGTTCATGACTTCATTTTTGAGATACAAAGTCCTAACAAGAGCGCTTACGACAAAGCAGTGTCATGCAACTTTGTCACATGATGTCCCAGTTGCTAGCACATCTATGTGGCCTAGTGTTACCACGCATCCAGTTTTCACCTGGACAGCCCGGGAATCAACTCACTGTCTGGGTGAACTATTAATTTTTTCCGGGAATATAGTGCGCAACCTGTCGACCTTTTTTTTTTTTTTTTTGTTTTTTTTGTTTTTGTTTTTTTTTTGTGTTTTTTTTTTTCTTGTACGATTCGTATTCATACACATCTCCAATATCCAATGGAGCTAAGTAATCTAGGTTACTTATGTTACTCCTACCCAAGTTTCCCTAGTCCCTAACTAACTGATTTAGAACTGCATGCACTGCACATTATTCTTCGCATTTCAAAATGATATTACGCATGCGTCAAGAACTTCTGTTCGAACAAACATCACCTGCCGTCCGGGTCAGCAATTTTAAAAAGGTGGCAAAACTAATGTAGCTTATGTCATTGAGTTCATTCGCAAAATTTGATGGATTGATTTTGATAAAATTTTGCCATTTTCTATTGATTGCAATGAAGAATCTAAAACATAATAAATGTAAATGTAGAAAGTAGGGGTCCATACTTTTGTTTTTGATATAAGGTGGGATCAAAGTGACAATGTTCATGCTGCTTGAGCATGTCTAACAGAATTTAGGGGTCAAATAAAAAAAAAGCAGCATTGCATGCACCTAATAGAAAATAGACACAAAAAATGAACAGAATACAATAACAAAGCAATTGGCATCAACTGCTTTTAGTTTTGATTTTATTTCTATACAACAATGCAATGTGGGTGATCTGCCAAAGGAGAATACTTCTCAGGAGGTCTTTTGTGAGAAACTGGCCTCTATTTAGGTGTTACTAACATGAAGAAAACCCAGAAAATGTAACCAGCCCATTCACCAGGTGTAAACTCAACCAACTTAACTATAAGTGTTCAGTAGTTTATTCACTTAGCCACTGGTGGACATTGGCATCTATTAATTTGTTCTTGGATTGCCTCTCTGTGTTGGTAAGTGCAAGAATTGTCTGTGTGTGCTCAGCCAGTGCAAGGATTGCCTCTCCCATGACAGGCAAATGCAAAGATAATCTCTTTCGTGATGGCAAGTGCAAAGTTTGCCTGTCCTGTGACCATCAGGTACAAGGATCGCCTTTTCTGTGTCTAACAAATACAAGGATTGCATCTTTCTTTCTGGCTCTGCCTCAATTCTATTGCAATATGACAAAATTGCACCATGTCCTAATAAATTTACATATTTACATCTATGGAGCAGCTGTTGCTCCATATATATACTATTGTGGGTTATGCATGAAAATACATGTAACCCATATTATAAATGTTAGTAGCTATAAATAATAATAATAATAATAACTTTGTTTTTATTATAATTATAGTATTTTAATAATAATGCTGAAAATATGAGACAATATGTATATATTGTCTTAATATATCCAATTTTTTCTGTATTATTATTAATATTGTTAAGGATTCTGTTGTTACTGTTGTTTTTATAGATGCTTAAATTATAGATTTAAAAATATTTGAGGATAATCAATGAATAGAAAATTTAAATGTTAAGAAAGTAAAAAATGTTCAATACAATATTAAAATTAAGATACTTTTATTGCTCATGCAGCACAATTTGACAATGAAATAATTTATATTTTATGATTTTAAGTCAAAAATAATCAAACTAAATTTTTAGAGTTCAAAAGAGGCACCAATTTTTGAATGCCATTTGATAAAAAAGAAATTTGACTGAAATCTGATATAAAAAAAATCTTTTCAGAATTATCTTATGTAAAATCAAAATACAGTTAAACCTCTGAACAATGGCCTCTGATGGGAACATAAAAACTGGCTGTTGTTTAGAGAATATTTTGTTCAATGTTGTATGCATTTTTGTTAAAAAAAAAGTGCCTGAATAAATGGCTGTTGTGACTGTTATTGGAAACTTGACTGTATGTAACTATATTTCAGAAAATTTTGAATTATTGTTTTTAAATTTGAATCTTCAGTACCTTTTAAAACATATAAAATGTATACTTTAATAATATTTCACAAACTATTTTTGGCAATTCTGTAAAAAAATAAAACTTTTTTATTGCTGCTAGAGAAAAGTTCAATGCACATAGTGTATAGGACATAGTGCAATTGTAACATAAATGTAATGTAAAATGATATTTTTTCTATGGGACATTATTATGTTTCTGGAATGTTTGCTTGTGAAATTTTATAATTTGTGTAATATCACTTTTTATGAATGTATAATATTCTTTATGTAAATTCTACAAAAATTTAAAAAAATTATAATTTTGCAACTGGACAATATATAAACATATTAAATAACATCTTTTAATTCAATAGCGATTTTTAATACAAACAAATAGTTTTACCTAATTACATAAACATTTTCAGATTTGGAAACCTAAAACCAAAACTGTTTTATTCCTTGAAAACTGTATCCTCATTAGAAGAGTGCTAAAGAAATATAAATTCAAAATAAAAATATAATATGAACTAATTTCAATGAGTATTTTTGCTTTATTTCACTTTTAGTGTCTTCAGATAGAATGTTGAAAACAAATATTCCAATTGTGTTTGATTTCATTACTTGAAATTGAATCAAGAGTTTTGAAAAATAAGCTTCAAAACATGGATTCTGAAAGCATCAATAAAAGATTCAAATATGAATTCACTAAAGTGCATCATTAAATGATGAAGATGACTATAAAAAGAAATCTCTTTTATGCAGTTTTGGATCAATTGTGGATACTTTTAAGAGAAAATTTTCAGCTAATGATATCAAATATACTGTCTTTTGATTACCTCCAAAATTTACATGATTTGAAGAAAATACATGATAAAATGTTAAAAAAGTTTTGTCAACTGGGAAAGAAAATTCTAACAAAGATATAAATTATTACAAATGTTGATGTATGCAATCTCACTTGAGATTTTTTTTTCTTTTTGTGAAAGAACATATCGATGACTAAATTTCATCAATAGATTTGGCCAATTTCATACATGCAGAAGGGTTTCTGAGATTTATCCCAACTTATCTGAGGCATTAAGAACTTTTCATGTCTTACAAATTTTCATATATCCAAATTATTCCTCAAAACTAAAATTTATAGAAAAAATTGACTGTTAAATGCAAAAATTTCTGGTTTTATGATTTTATCAATAGTATAGGGCAGAAGTGGCGAACCTATGGCACGCGTGCCCAAAGTGGCACATCGAAGAAATCATCTGGCACGTAACATATTATGCGATATCAGTTTATCATCTTTTTCAGTCAGGTTCTTTACATTTACTCTAATTACAACATATTATTTTATTTATTTAAATATAGTTTTTTAAAACTCTTTTTGCCCTGTGGGCATTAAGAGGGCTTTTTTATTTAGCTAACTCCAAACAGTCAGATGGTGAAGAATGGATCACCACCTGAAAATTTCCTGGGTTTTGATCTCAGGTCCACAAGAGCGATAAGCTACCACTCTGACCACTCAGCCATTTCGCCAAATTTAAATATAATTACTAGAAGTCTAAAACTTCTGCACACATAATCATTTTTAAAGAAAAGTATGTTTAATATGCTTACTATGTGGCATGCAGACTCAAAAAGGTTCGCCATCCCTGGTATAGGGAATAGTAGAATCATTAACATTTGATAAAGTGATAGAGCATTAAAAATAACTGCCAAAATTTGATTTAATTAATTTATGTACACAGGATGGCCAAAATAATTATTGCTTCTGAATGCCAAAGATCTAAAGTGGTCTTGGCTATAATGTAATATAGTTATAAAATTCATTACAATAACATTAGTAATGCTTTTATTAGAATGTTGTTTTTCAACATACTCCCCTTGCTTTTTTAAGTGCATTGAAAAATGATGGAATAAAGAAGTTTGGTCAGCATTGCAAATTTAATTTCCTCAGAAAGTTTTTGGTAGAAAGATGAACTATTTCCTTCAATTTTTTTTATCTATAGTAAATTAACGGTGACATTTCTTACCCTTTTAAATTTTTCAATCCATAAGTAGGCACTCTGTCATAAAATAATGTCTCCAAATTGTGCTTAAAGCATTTGATGAATTTCAATTATTAATTCACTTTCATAGAACAACAAAAAAAAAAAAAATAGATCCTTTTTTTCCAACTTTTCTTTGGTGCAGTTGAAAAGAAGAGCAGATAATTACCATATTTCCTTGAATTAATGCCTGGCACTTATTCATTTACATTGGGTCAAAATTTCCAAGTGCATAATCAAGGCAGGAGACTATTTGAAGCCTGATGCTAATTCAAGGAAATACAATAATAATAAAATATTATTATTGTATAAGTTCAACAAAGTACTGTACATTTTAGTTCTATTATTTGAAAATGCAAGCTGAGCTGAGGTCTTGACAGGTGAGCTGCAAGCTAAGTTGTGAATTTGGACTGGATCTGAGAACTGAGCGGAGTTGGGGTGTGTTGCAACAAAGGCCATTTTTGAAATTTAAATTGCATCTGTAATAACAACAGATACACAGTATGTCAGATATGTTTTCATCTATCTGTTATTAAAATGAGAGCAAAATTATTCA